TTTTTTTTTTTTTTTTTTTTTTTTTTTTTTGGTACCAGGGATAGAACTCAGGTCCTTGTGCTTGCAAGGCAAGCACTGGAATCACTGAGCTAAATCCCCATTCCCATATTATACTTTTGTGATCTATTTTCATTTTATAGGATATCTGTCATATTATTAGTGCTATGTAAAAAAATTTAATTGAGGACCAGGGATTTAGCTCAGTTTTTCCACCGTCTGCTTTGAAAGCACAGTGTCTTGAGTTCAATCCCCGGTACCAAAAAAAAATTTAATTGATTAAAGTTTGGTTTATCAAGATTTTATAGATACATCTTTCAGGGTTTGACATTTGCCTGAAAGGAAATTTTATAAATATAAATCAACATATGTCATATATTCATTTCAGTAGCCTAGAGCATTATTGATAAAGAGCATTTATATTACATTTATACGTGTTCATCCTTTTATGCTGTATAAATTACACATTTAATGAGATATTTTCACTGAAAATATTTTAATTATGTAGACTAATTTCCATTTTTCTGAAGTTTTTATGCTAATTAGATGTCAGTATATAACTTACATTTTTCTATTTTTCAAACCTTTGAATGTATTCAAATTTTATGATCGATGTTTAAGAGAATGTATTGTCATGTAAGAATAAGGAAAAGAATACACTTTAAAATGTGTGAATAAAATGTGTGAAAGGTTGCCATAATGATGAGCCTACGGATATGTCTGACATCTGTCATTTTTTGAAAATAATTAAGAAAACCAGCGATTATATGATCTGCTAATGTTAGATCATTTTTCATTCTAATAAATCTCTTCATTCCTCTTCAAATTGGAAAACTAGACCCAAAGCACATTCTTATAAAAGCTGAAACTATGTGGATACATTGGGCAGAAACTTATTAAAAATATTTTTTGGTTCTATAAATTCCATTTCAGTAAATTATTATGTATGTAAAAGAAAAAGAACATATAAAATAGCCTAAATTTGTGTTTGGCTTCACTATAATCGCCATTACAGCTCCATTTATTACTGTTCTTTTGAATAAAAAGATATAAACAACAAATGCATCCTATTTTAAAAATTTGCCTAATTTGAAGTACGCATGCTTGCGTTTCCTTTTAGAGTTCCAGTTCATCTTTGAACATCCTAGTCTCACTTTTGGTATCACCCTTGAGCATCCACAGGTGTGATTATCGATTTGGGTTTTGAAAGCTGCATCTTAAAGGACACATATTAAAGATATTCCAGGTGATATATATTAAGCCCAACAATCTCTAGTGTGGCATGCTTACAAAGGTTTTTTTTCCATTATTTTGAAAATCATCAGAGAATTGTAATGCATGTGTTTATGATATATTACAAAAACAAATCTTCAATGCCCAAGTTGGTATTTTGTGATTAGGCTAAGCAAAAATGAAAGGTGGGGGAGGAGGCTAAATGTACAGCTTGATTAAAAAAATCCTAACACCTTTTTGCTTTAAAATCACAAAATATCATTTCAAATGATTTTGTTTATAAAATTTTTCCACGCCATACTTGGGAATGTTGTGCTTGAATATATCTTTGCATTTGTTCTTTGTTAAGAAAACTGGTCTATAATTACTTTTTTTGCCAGAGGCATATGAAACATTCTAACTGCATGCATTCTTTTGCAATCTTTGATTAGTATGTTTGTTCCAACCTATAGCATTTAATTTGGATTGTTAGCAATTAGTGGGTTTTTTGTTTGGGTAGAAGTGATTCTTAATTTTTTAATGTGAATAAGCAGGATGTGGGACATAGCAGGAAAATGCAGTGGATGTAATAAGCTTCTTTTATTTTGAAATATAAAAACTTTGTTACATTTTCTGTTTTCAGGAAGCCAAATTGCCTGGGTCACTATTTGAAATTGCATCCGTGTATATAAATGAAGAATTGTGTTCTGCACATTATTATTGAAATATTCTAATGTCAAACTGTTGTTCATCTGCTAAATTTTATGTTTACATATTAGGGTCTAAAAGAAAAAGAGAATGAGGAGCTTGATATTCAGTTGAAAGTTTTTGATGAAAACAAAGAGGATGACCTAACTGAATTGTCTCACCGTCTGAATGACATTCGAGCAGAAATGGAATATCCTTTGACTAATCACAAAAATAATTTTGCACACATTAAAAGGGAATTTTGAAGTAATTTTTGTGATCCATCATTTCTGTCTGCTAGCCCAATTAATATCCATTTATTTACATTAGAACCTTACTATATTGTTGTTCTTCAGATTCATACTGAAGAACTGTCAGACTATACTGTTGAGTTACACAGACTATATTAAATATTAGAGTATATTATAGATAAACTCTGCTCAGTGCCCTCGAATAAACAAGAAGAGCCTAATGCACATATATCTAACATATAAAAATGGGTAAAAGTTGCCTAAGTTTATGTGTAACTAAAGTTAATATACATTTTCATTTTGTTAAATGGTACTCTATTTAGAGGTACAATTCAATTGAAATAAATTCCCTGCCAGGTACGATTTTTTCTTTAACAGTTCCAAACAGAATGTTTAGATACAATAAGTAGTTGACTATATAACAAGGCTATGTCATGGAAGTATCCAAGTCAAATACAACTAGCATATAATCTTACGGTATTGATGATATGTGAAGTGAATTTAGATCTGAGAGATAATGGTGCTAGTGCTGGTAGCCATTGGTTTCATACCTATTAAATTTCTTATGGATTCTGGGGTATTGGGAAACATTTCAGAGCCAGAGTTTCCTTTGAGGTAGATGTTTTCTTGGTAATATGTGCTTCTGTCTATTCTCCCCATCCCTGTAAAAAAGCTGGAGTAATATTCCCCTCCTTGAAACTCTCATAATAGTTTGTTTGTTCTATCTTATTTATGTACACTTTTCTGCCTCTGTGAGATTGAGGGCAGAAATGTTACATTTCATCTTTTTTTCCTCCAGTGTTCCTATACGAAGTTATACATATAGGTATTATATAAATGTGTGTGCAGTGAATAACAGTGTTATTATTATAAGGAATATTTTTAAATCTGTGATTAGTGACCATTCTGTAGTGGCGTCTCTTATTTTAAATGCCTTTTATATCAATATATATTTTTCTTTATGCAGATTTCTCTTATAGTCCAGCTGCACCCTAAAGCTGTTTTTGGAACCCATTCTGCAGTCATTTCAGGGACATAATGACACTTTAACACAGCATTCTTATTTGGCATCCCAGAAGTAATCCATCTTATACTTAATTCTACTTCAAAGAAAATATTGACATTTCAAGTCATTTTTAGGATATTGGATTACATCTCCTATTTTACCTTTATTCTACATTGATTTTCCCAGTGCTCACTTTTGTTATAATGGTGAATCCATCTTTAAAATCTGTTTTCTACTTGACTAAATGCATTTTCAGTTCTACCACTTTTTTTGTATTCTAAGAAAAATGTTTCAACCACTGTTGTCTTTACTCTCCATCTTTTCTCAAAGAAATGCAGATGAATACCAATAGTAATTTCAGGTTTAGTATTTCATCTGGATAAAATAAAACTGTGTTTGTGATCTTTTAGTAGTTTACAACATGCTTGCCTTTCATCTTACATTTCAGTGAAAATAGTGTAGTAGTGGCTTGCATGAATAATATAGGAAGTATTATAGTTCCTCTTTCAAAAACGCAGGGAGAGCAGGACAAAACCATTTTAATCAACAGAACTGCTGTTCTAGCTATACTCTGGACTTTATTTTAATGAATGACTGATCATTTAAGATTTTAATAGTCAAATGGTCCAGGAAATACTCCTTTGTTCTGTCACTGTAGTTCAAAGGTGAAAATGATTCTACGTAAATGTTTAAATAGTGGATTATGGAGTTGAATGTTTTGGGAAAAGTAATAGAAGCAAAATTACAAATCTATATTTTAAAATTAAAATAGCTTTTGTAATGAATGTAACTTTTATCAAGAATCTTTGATTTTTTTCCTTTACTTACATTTTACTGATATGAATGAAGTATACCATCTTCTATATAATATGTTGAAAGACACTGCTGCTGAATCTTATTTATTATCCATTCTACAACATTTTTTGCTTATCAGAAATGACTACTATATCAGGTAAGAGGCAATTCTGATAGTACTATATTCATGATTTGAATATAATATTAAAGGAAAATTAACAATGTAGTAATGCTTCTGTAATATGCATGTACACATTTACCAAATAGAACAGTTTGCCTCCTAAAAGCAGCCACCACTTTTAAACTGGTATTTATTTCATTTTATTTGAGTCAAAAGTGATACCTACTTTAAAAATGGAGTATTCTAGTGACAGGATTGTTAATAATAATCAACTCAACAGATATTTCTGACTCTGGTGAATTTGTTTGCTAGATAGTGGTAACACAGACAAAACACTAAATAGTCTAGAACTTTTTTTTTGCCTTGTACATTGTAATAGTTAAGTTTTTACTGTTATTTCTATTTGATATTTTAATTAGTAATATAATATTAACACCTGAGGAAAATAATAATGCACATATTTCAGTTTTAGCTTCAGTGATGTATTTTTTTTGAAAAAAATAAATAAGCATGATAATAAAATTAAAAGTTTTAAGATATAGTAGTGTAGAATATATCTGAAAACTGTAAAGTCATAAAATGCTTTCTGAGTGAAATTGTCCATAGTCTGGTGAATATAGTGTCATATTTAACTGTTTAAGAGACTATTAGATGTTCATCATAGTCAAATTTACATGAAATTCTGACAACTTAGATTCTCTGATTTCTCAAATCCTGCATGATTAAAGGTAAAAGGAAATCTAGCAGGAGTTAAGTTGTAGTTACAACAAAAATGACAGTTTCAAAGCAACATAGAGAACTACTATAGTTCAGGCTAGTACAATAATATAACGGGTATCATGATGTTACAAAAACAGAAGAATTTTACCTGTTTTTGAGCAGGTAAGATGATATTTCATTAAAGTGATTATTATTTCAAAATTAAACTCTGACAATTAGAAGGGGACTGTGCCTAGGGATACTCGGTTACCTGGGGACTCCATTTGCAGGAAACTGTCTATTCTCAGTAAGTATGAATAAATGAGAAATTACACAAATATGGCATCTTTTTCATTCTAGGAACATTCATGTGAGATAGAAGTGTGAGAATCATTTTTATTTCACTTATGCATTATTAACCTTAAGGAGGACCATTGATTTTCCATATTCGTTCAGTTGTTGACTTGATTGAGAGTATGATGCATTATATACCCTAGACCTGATAATGACTCGAAAAAGCCCCAGATGTATAATATATATTACTTTTTATTCTAAACCTTAGGATCAGCCCCATAACTAAAGATGTAGGAGGAACAGTTAGAATTTGTCTGGCTTCATTTGTAAACTTTTTTAAACTAGGAAGTTTGCAAGTTTTATTTAGGAATGTTTATGTCATAATTCATCTATTAGATACTTCTTACTGGTCTTTTCTCTACTGAATTGATTGGCCTGAGACAAATGCTTAATCTTCCCCACACTTTAACGCATAAAGAGCCTTTACAAAATTTTCCAGTATATGACTTGTCTTTTTTAAGTTAAAAAAGCCTTGATAGATTACAAATTTAGGGTATATGCTAAAACCCTCAATAGTTTATACAAATTGAGTCTGTAGTCATGCATATTAAGTAAATTTGGTTTCATAAAATGGATCTGTTAAAATAAGTTGCATAAATAGATCTTTGGGATAATCTATAAGTTGACATAGTACAGTTTTGTAAGCACTTTCATAGCTATCTTTATTAAAAATGCTTTAGTAAATTCAAGACATTTTTTGCCACCTAATGCCAAGAAACTCATCACTTATTGAAACAGAACTTGTGGAAGGCTGGAACCATTTCTGTTTCCACAGATGTAGTATCAATGAATCATTTGTTTTCTGTAGCTTTGGAAAGAATAGCTAAAGTAAATAGATAAAATTGGTAAGTATCTTTGAACATAGGCATGGATGCCTGAAAAAGAGAATTAAGTCACTAAATACTTGCAGTTGATTACATCACAGTGGGTTTGGCACTCTCAAAATTAGACCATCTTTAAGTTTAGACATATTTTTTTAGGGAGTGTAATGGTTAGATTTTCTTTTTTCTTTCTTTTATTTTTTAGTAGCAATAGAAAAATATATTTTTAATATACTGATTTTCTTCTTAAAAATTTGAGTTGTACAGGTAGAAAAACTATTTCCTACTGCCTTCTCTCTTTCAGGCCACAGTATTATAAGATAATTGAGGAGTGTGTTTCACAGATAGTGCTGCACTGCAGTGGTATGGATCCAGACTTCAAGTATAGGCAAAGATTAGACATTGATTTCACTCATCTGATTGGTATGTAATGTAACCCTTACTGTCCTTTGCTTTATACTGTTTGTAAATAGGCATTTTTAAAGGTAGATCACTCACTGAACTTGTTTTATTACTATCTAGCAAGTCTTTGTGTCTTAAGCTACTTAATTTCTATAACTATTTCTATACCTATTTCTAGAACTGATTATTATGAGAGTTCTGCTTGTGTGATTAGATATCTTAATGCAAGATAAGATTTAACACTACTGAACTCATGTTAAAGTCAGTGCCCACGGGGAGGGGACATTGTGTTATTATAGAGGAATGCTTTGTATTTTAGAAGCATGAATCAAAAATCCTTAACTTCAGCTTATGCAGAATATTAGTATAGCTATGTTATTAGTGCTCAAGTTTGAGAAAAGAAACACAGGCTTACTTCATCAACCTAAGGCCTTTAAAGGCTATCAAATAGATAAATTTGTATTTTCATTGACCTTAGAGCTAGGAAAGGATTTAAGGCTATTGAATTCATCTCTTTAGATTGCTGAGAAAATGACTTTTTATAAGCCTAGAATGATAGTTAGCAATCCTTCCTTGAACAGTCTTTGAAGGATGAAGTAAAACTTCCCTTGCGAAATATATTTTGCTACCTGGCCTTACAGTTAAGCAGTGTTTTTTATACCTAATTGAAATCAGTAGTGGTGAAGTTCAGGCATAAACTCACTTGCCTTTAGAGAAAACAGCAGCTGTTGACTACCAAGTTTATATTATTTATTTCTGCATAACAGAAGATGGATTTTCAGTAATATTTAAAGACGTATACTTTATTCTTTATTATGTATTCTTTTATGATTTTAAATATGATTTGCACTTACTGAAAGCAGTAGACAATATAAGTGACAGACTACCAGTCACATCACCACTACTCCTTTCTCAGCCCAGCACATTTCCTTATGCACTACCTAAGCTTACTTGCCCATGCCATCTCTCATCTATGTATATGCTAATTTATTATGGAACATTATAATGAGAAGCTTTTCGTGTTAACTTTTAAAATGGGACTTTATTTTTTTTTCAGCTTTAATTGAGTTTATTGGTACATTTTAGGGATACAGTACAGTTACATTTATAGTTAAATGTCTGTACAGTGTTCTATTTTATGGACGGTCTTAACTAATCCTCTCTGACTGCACATTTAGATTGTTTTCAGGTTTTCACTTGAATTATCAATGAATGTGTTATGACCATTGTAGTGTTTGGCTTATTCTCATTATTTCCTTATGATTTGTTGTGATGAATGAGGGTGTGGATTTTCAAGGGCTAGATACTTTGCAGAAAGATTGTGCCAGTTTACTTTTCCTCAGAAATGCATGTGGACCCTGGTCTCACTGCATATTTCTCACTGAGTTGGGTAAATCGTATTTTATATTGTATTTTGTGGATGGAGTCACAATTTTCAAATGAGTGTATGGGCTTATCGTCTATTAGGAACCCTAGTTGGCACATAGAGTCTATTGCTGATTTTGGCTAGCTTTTTCAGTGTTCATCAGACATTTTTGTGTGTGCTGTGTGCCAGGTACTTATGATTGACTGTTTTATTGGTAATCAAAACCATTGAGGATGAAGGGATAAGCTGAGACAATAGTCTGCAGCATACATCTATTATGACTTCATTCATATGTCAGCTCTGTGATTTTATTTGAGTCGTTTAACCTCTCTAGATTTTATTTTCCTCAATTCTAAAATCAGGTGAGTGAAAGTTATGTAGTGCTTAATATTTTATGGTGAGAATCCTTTTTGATAAGCTAATGATTTATGTAGACTATTTATTAGAACATGTGTGTGCTCACACACACAGAAGTTATTAAATGCTTGAAGAGTTTCTATTTTATGATTACTTAGATTTAAGAATACTAGAGTCTCTTATGATTTCACAATTCTGTAAGTTTAGTATCTCTCATAAATCATATCAGATTCTTGCCTAAAAAGTCCAGTGCTTGCCCATTGAAAATTTAAATCAAAATCAAGGGCATTACTGACTATGTCTGGCACAGCATAAATATGGTCTCCCCTTTGACTTTAACACATAGCACTTTCCTCCTCAGTTATTTGGCACCGGTCACACATGAAAAGAAAAAAAAAACTTTATTGAGGTAACGTTGACAAAAGAAAAACTCCTCATATTTAAAGTATATACCCTGATAAATTTTGAGATTATATGTATATGTAATATACCGCACATATATTCGAAATATATATATATATTTTTTTTTCATCATCTCAGTCAAGATAATAAGTTCTCTGTTAGTTCTTAAAGTTTTGAATTTTTCTTTTAGTCCTTCCTTCACATGCTTCCCGCCTATCTTTATCCTAAGGTAGCCGCTGATCTTTCTTACTAGTTCTATTTATACTTTATCAGTTTCATTTTCAAAAATTTCATATAAATGAAAATATAGCTTGTGCTCTTTTTTTCTTAAGCATAATCATTTTGAGATACATATATGTTGTTACATTGTGTGGATCAATAGTGCATTCCTTTATAGTGTTGAGCAGTATCCCAGTGAATTGATATAACAGTACTGGTTTATGCATATACTTGTTAATCATCATTTGGGTTTTTTTTGCCAGTTTTTAGCTATTATAAGTAAAGTTGCTATGAACATTCACATAAAAGTCCTGGTACAGACTTATATTTTTATTTCTTTGAGTAAATAGATGTGTAGAAAGGGTAGCTACACAATAAACTTTAATACTGCCCCCCCCAAATTTCTTCCATTATATATAAAGAATGATATTTCTTTTTCCTCTTATTTGGCAATGCTCAGGAATGAACCCAGGGTCTTATGCATGTCAAGCAAGAAATCTACTATCACTGAGCTTTTATTCCTGGATCTTTTATATAATTTTATTTTGACATGGTCTTGTTAAGTTGCTAAAGCTAGTAACTCAAACTTAAGATCCTCTTGCCTCAGCCATCTGAGTACCTGAGATTATAGGCTTGCATCACTGTACCCAACTTCACTGTTTATATTATGAAGTATATGATTGGACTTATGAAATTCCAAGTTTGTTTTTCTACGTACACAATTGCCCCATATTAGAAGTAAAGTCTTGCACTGGGAATCCTAAATTAATAAATATTACTGTATCTTAGAATTTTTAGAGATAATTTTGAATTTTGATAATCTTTAACATGTAATTTTTGCTCCCTCTCTCTTCATAATAAACTACGTGATTTTTTTGCAGAAGTTGATAATTATAGAAGTTAAAACATGATTAAATGCCTTTAAAATAATAATAACCAATTATTTTTATGGATGCTTGGTTTTGTGCTTCAAATATACTATCATTCCATTCATCTAGTACACTAAAAAATGAAAATCTGGTGGTTTGTTTTATATATAGTATAGGTCAATTTTCCTTGAATAGCAACTACCTTGAAAGGATAGTCTGCATAGAATTTTAGATTGGCAGCCATCTTTGGACTAGAAATATCATGCCATAATTTCTAATCATTTTTGGTAAATCTTACTAGATTCTTGTGTGAACAAGGCAAAAGTTGAAGAAAGTGAACAAAAAGCAGTGGAATTTTCAAAGAAGGTAAGACTTATAGAAATTAGGTATGATTGTTAATAATTTAATCACAGCACATGTTCTATCTTGTTTCTTTATATGAGATCTATAACTTTTATTTCAGCATTGTGGTAATTTATATTTGTAGATTCAAACCAAAAAACAAAATGTTACATTATTTCCTAATAAGATACGTTTGGTTTTACTCACTCTTTCTCACCTCTAATCTATTATGGAAGAAACATGGTAGATATATGATACTAATGTGATAAATGAATTAAAATTAGAGCTGGAAAGTTATTCTTAGAAGCAATCAACCAAACTAAATTCCCTCATTACGTTTCTGCAGCTCTCACTTAAAGTAGGTAATGCTTTGGGAGAAATGTGAAATATTTAGCTATTATTTAGAAATGTGAAATATTTAGCTATGATCTTTAACTTCAATGCTAATGATAACAATGAGACATTGTAGTTGTAGTTATCTCAGTCTTTCCCCACTGCTTACTTAGGTTGTTTGAATTTTGTAATTGCCTTTTGTTAAATGATGGTGGTACTTAATGTGTGTAGACTTGATGGAACTTGAGACTTGTTAATGTCTTATGAATATCTATTTCATTTAGATCTGATTGTCTTTTTCTTGTTTCATGAAAGCATAGCTATAATTTGCTGCTACTACAAGCCCTCCCTCAATGTTTCCCTTCCTCCCTCACTCCCTTCCTTAGATCCAATTGAATATTAGTATAGTATTTGTCTCCTGTTGAGTATAGAGAAAAGGATTGAAGCACAAATCTAAATGCTCTCCAGTTTTCAGTCATCTGACAGCAAGATAAAGTGCTTACATATTGCTGTCTAGTCACAGTTATGACTTACCTTGTAGATTAGATAATCATTTTTTCTATCACTATAGAAATTAGTTACTGCAGAGCATCTGAGGAAATGTCTCTGATCTTTCAGTTACTAGAATAGATTTTTAAGAGCTTGAGCTTGACATACAATGTTTGTGTGAAGCTATCATTTTTATTGGTGAAATAAAGTGCATGTGTTTTGATTAATAGACCTTTATATTTCTTTTGTTCTTATTTTAGTCAGCAGGTCTTAAATTCCCTTTGAAAATCTTCAAATCTTAATTTTTGGTTGGCACTGTAATTAGAAATCATAAAATGGAACTAATTGTTATTATCAATCTAGTAAAGTTTTCTTTAACCATATAATATTTAAAAAGTAGTTCTGAAATCAGAATTTTCAGTATTTTATATTCTAATGTCATTGCCAGCATTTAGAATGGAAACATGCATGGAGATAAACCAATGGTTACCTCCATGCATTATCTTATTCTGATTTTTGGAGTTTTTTGGTAGTGTTAATCGAACTCAGGGCCTCTGAGCTACATTCTCAGAACATAGATTATTTTAAGAAGCAGTATGAAGTGTTTTGTTTTTAAAGTGTTAGAATGTAAGGCAGACATTGTAAGATCTGATCCTATGCTTTCCAATAATTAGCAATGACTTTAAAACACTTATACTCGTTGGATCATACTTGCTTCATTTTAAAAGAACAGGATAAAACTTAATGTCCTTGTAAGAGCTCCTCCAGCTCATATATTTCATACTTGTGTGATTTCTATTTGCTTTTACAGATTAACATAATTTTAAACTGAAAAGAGAAACATTGTGTGTCCCTTTCAAATGTACGAATAAGCCATGCATAGAGGAAAACTAGTGCACAGTGAATTTGTGTAGATGTCACATTTGTGAAACACAACGAAGCCAACTATGGGAGGTGGGGATGGGAACATAGCTTCAGATAAATCTTAACATGATAGTAGTGAACTTGAATAAGATAACATTGAAGGACCTCCAACTTCTTAGTGAACTGGGAAAACGAAATTATTCAAAGATTTATGAATCCTTCATTTTATGTATCTGGGATGCTTTTGAAAATTAAAGATATTAGAGATGAAATGCGTCAATTTTTATGAGGCATTTACCAAGGTATAGTTGGGTAAAAGCATTTCTAACTAATATATTCTCTTTGACCTAGATATTATCATTATCATGCCTTTTGCCCAGCCACCTTTTCTTCAGATTTATATCAGAATATAGTTGCATAATTTCCAAAGGTCAAATCTGCTACGATGGTGAACATTTTTTACAGTAGACATACATTTGTATTGTTGCACAAACTATAAAGATAATTTTCGACATATAAAGATATGTCACTATTGGAAATACGAGTAATACTGTTCAAATACTATATAGATTTCTGCAGTGACTTAAGGTGACATTGACAATAAAGAAAATTAAATGTTCTGTAATGGGAGATAGGTAGTATTCACTGTAAATATTCAGGCTGTTTTGTGCCTGCTTAGAACTCTGCAGTAAGGGCTACAGCAGGATGCAGGGAATGAATATTAACCATTCTGACTTTTTGGCTTAGCACACTATATTTTAAACTCTCATTTTCCCTCCTATGTCATTCAAGTATATTTTGGTTAGCCATCTGACAGAAACTGTTATTACAGTATATATTCTATTGTCTGATTTTGTGGAACTCAACTTTTTGGATTGTAGAGAGTTGATTTTAATAAAAATATTCTAATTTGTATTAATATACATTCATTTGAGCAGTCTAAAAGTGTAATCCTTTTTATGATTTCAAACTGCTTGTCATATTTTTTATATTTGACTTTCTAATTATTAACCTTAAGTTTATGGGAAGAAACATTAATAAACAATTCTAAAATCAAATTTCCAACAACACAAAATCATGTATTATACATGAAGAGAAACTTTTTAGTCCATGTTTTTTAGTATTTATTTTTCAAAAGTGAAAATAGTTTTATTTTGGGTCGGGTAGTATATATTCCTTCATTACTTTCACTACCATCAGAAACAATGCCCTACCTCACATGGATACTTAATTTTCATGGGAATAATTAAAAGCTTTGGTTTTCTGAGTGATGAAGAATTCAAAACTCACTCCACTTATTTAATAATGTTCTTTAAAGATTTCTCAAAAGTGTATTATTAACTGTATATTTATGATGGGGATTATTGCAGTTTGATGAAGAATTCACAGCTCGACAGCAAGCTCAAGCTGAGCTTCAAAAAAGAGAAGAAAAAATCAAAGAACTTGAAACAGAAATCCAGCAACTTCGGACCCAGGTAATGAAGCAAAATACAGATACTGTGTCATGACACAGTGAAGTCGATGATAGAAAATTATCTTGTAAGGGGCTGAAGGGAGGGCAGGGGTATGGGGGAAAGATGAGAACCAAGACCTGTCATGTAAAGATACAAGATCTTAATGATGAATTGAACTGTACTGTATGCCTAAAATGTACCAATAAACTCAAATGAAAAAAATTATCTTGTACAGTGGAAGGTAAAAATGTATCTGGAAGCAGGTTTTTTTTGGCAACTTCACATTTTACTTGAAATAACTCTACAGATTTGATTTTCTAGGACTATAAATAATTTTAATATTTGACAAAATAAGGCATCAGTTGCCTAAACTTTCCTGAATATTTTAATTAAATGTATTACAATGGCAAAACTGTTTTTGAGATGAAATTTTCATGATGATTTGAGAAATTGGGTACATAGTATTTTTTCAAAAAGAATATGAAAATGCTCATTAAATTTAATTAGCCCAAAAGCTCCTTGAGATCTCTCTAAATCTAGAATACCATCACTCAAAGTCTAATGCACTTTTATATTTCCATCTCCGTTCCCTTGGATGAAAAGCTCCCATATGCACTTAAAGTCTTAATTAGGGCATCTAAACTTTAGAATTGATTAAGTGCTCTCATTAACATGTTATAAGTTATTAATGAATACTAGGAAATTGAAGAGGATGTCTTTACACAGTGAGTACTCCAGAGGTATTGGTTGATTGACTAGGCGTACTTCTTTCAGTTTATTGAAGAATTACCTCAAAGGTAACCAGGTAATTACTAAATATTGAATGTGATGACCTTTTCTTCTCTTTAGTCTACATCACTTATCTCTAATATAAGATAATTTATTTTCACTAAATCTCTCTTTTCTCTTTATATAATGTGAATTACCCTTTTAAATGTCCGAATATTTCTCTTTATTTTTCAACCCCGAACTGGTGGCGTTCTTTAGTGTTCTGTCCTCTACTCCCTTGTTGTTGTTGGGTTTTTTTTGTTTGTTCATTACTGAAGATTGAAGCCAAGGCCTTTGCATTGAGCTACATGATGTCTAGCACTCCCCCAGCCCCCATTTATATTCTGAGACAGGGTCTTGCTAATTTGCCCAGAGTGGGCTCAAACTTGCAGTCCTCCAACCTCAGCATCCCTGAGTTTTGGGATTACAAGCTTGTGCCACCACACCTGGTTCTCTTGTCTGCTGTTTTCTTATCTGTATATATTCTTTCTCAAATTCCTATTCAATATCATATCTTCAAATAATCACCATTTAATATGTCAGGACTTTTGAATTTGTTTTATGTTTCCATATTTTGATTAGTTATTGCCATAGGAAGGTTTGCTGCATATTGAAATCAAACTCAGTATTCCTGATCTCCTCTTTGCTCAAACCAGTTTTGCCTCTGCTCTTTTTTGTTTAAAGTTTACCACCACTTTTTAGTTAAGTTGGCATTTGCTTTCCCTTTTCTTTGCTCTACTCATGGCAAATTAAGCTACTCACTCTTCCATGTCCTTTCCCCACTTGCATCAAAACCCAGAAGCCCTCAGATCCACTCTCATTATATCTTACCTGGATTATTGCAGTAGTTTTCTCATTTTTCTCTCATCTGTATTCTCTTCCATTTCAAATTTATCCTGTATGCTAGTGGCAAATTAATCTTCCTAAAACTACCCTGAGAATTATGATTCTTGGCTTTAATATGTTCAGTGGTTGCTGGTTTAGTAGAGATTAAGTAAAATTTCCTTACTTAGAATTTTAGGACCCTCCCTTTGCAGACTAGACTGTGACTGCTCCTCTGCCTGCAGCATCAGCTCCACCTACGTCACCTTTCCCTATTATTTGCAACTTACTCTCCCCATACTTTTCCTTCTGCCAGCATTTCTCAAACATAAGTTCCAGAGATCATAATGGAGTTTCATAAGAAAAGCATTCTATAGTTCACTAAATTGAGTACACATAAAATTCCTTTTTGGCGTGGTGCAATACTCATTGAGGGGTCCAGGATGTCTTTTACTGAAGAAACCGCTTTCTCATACAGCTTTTAAAGACTCCTTTAACCACAGAACTCTTTATGCTCAGAAAACCTATTAACTTCTTCTGGAAATAGTGTTTTCATTTAATTTAGTTGAGAAATTTGGCTTATGTTATTCTCTCTCAGAACTGCCACTTTTTGCTCATCTGTGCCTGTGAAATGTAGCCTTTAAAGGAAAAGCTCAGTACGAAGACGTCCCTTGGAAAGCTTCACCAAAAACTACATTAGGGGATTTTTCTAAACTTCTACATTACATTTTTAGACCAGTAATACTATATTTGTTTACATGCTTTCTCTTTTTTCCATATGAGTATAAGAATCATGAGGTACATTTCTTTATTATTCTTCATTGAGGCCCTACTGTATTTAGCAAAGGCCTTACTCAAAGATTATTTACTTATTAATTACTAAATTAGTTAAAAATGTGCATAGTCACAACAGTCTTTAGTGTGCTCCAAATAGTATCAAATTCATGTGCTATGTACAATTCACAATATTATATTCTTGCCTCATTGTTCAGTTCCTAATTGCTCATGCAAGGGAAGAAAAGGGTTAATATGATTTAGTTTTTAAAAGATTTTTAATATAAATATTAAACATTCTTCATTACATGGGTAAAATATGCATTTAACTTGAGTATGATCCTTCTTTTCTTAAATTTTTTTTACTGATGTTGCTAAGGTTCAACCTAGGACCTTCTACATGTTGGATTTGTGGTTTCAAAAGTTTTATGACAAATACTGAGACAAAAAATTTATGTTTACAAATATGTCTCTTTGCTATCTCTTCATTTTTCTTTATGTTATTTAAAATGGAACACAGCTTTTGCCTATCAAAAATACTGTATTAAAAATCCATACACAAAATTTGTCGGATGTACTACTAATTTCCTGAACTTTTAATTTCGCCACAATTTTTTCATCTCAGTCAGGATTTTAAAAATCAAACTTTTTAAATAGTGGTTTCACTTTAAACATAAAGTAATTTTGTATATTTTCATTCTAATTTTTTCTGGTTTTAGGAAAGTATTTCGTTTTAGGGGAGAACTGTCATTTAAGTAAAGAAACACTTCAGTCACATGTATTTATATACACACATAAACATTTATATATATGAGGAAAATACTTGATCAGTGTGCAGTGGATATTATGGGAAATATTTGCACGATCCTGTCTACACATGTGTGTTAACTTTTAATATTTTGGTAAATAGGAAGTCACTTAAATTGATTCTTCCAAAAATGTGTTCCAAATTATTTACTTTGTAAAAATATTTCTAAGTTTAATTAGTACAATAGTTCAAATAGAAAATTTGTATTAATACAAGAAGACTTTTTCCCAAATAAAAATAATGTTATGCCAATAAATTTAATTGTTTTAAACCCTTTATTCAATTAATCTAATGTACTATATTGATTACCAAAGATATCTGTTCATTGGTAGTGGTTTCTTGGAAATGTTTGTAATGAACAGCTCTGATTTTATATTTGTTTTTGAAATTGAACAATTGTGATCTGTAGTAGTTTAAAGAAATGAGTACAGGGTAATCATCAGAAAAGAAGACAATATTGAATACAATGTTCTTTTTAATCCATTTTCCATTACCATTACAGAATGAACTTAAACTTACTTTGCCATAGTAGAAAGAAGTTATTCTCTTGTAATCAGTGTTCATTAATTTTTCTCTTGGTAAATGACACCCATCCATTCCAGAAGAGAGGGGCTGCTGTAGTAAAAGAGGATTGTACTGACTGTGGGAAAAGCCACGTTCCAAACTGCATTTCAGACTATGTGACCATTTTCAATCATTTAAGTTTTTTTGCAGTTACAGTTTCCTCATCTGTAAGCAATGTACTTAGGTTAGATAAAATTATCCTATCTACATTACAGTGTCATAGTAAGGATTAAAGAAATGATGGATGTAAAAAAGTTAACAATTAAATTATAATGCAAATGCATGCTGTTCTTCCTCCTCCTCCTCCTTCTCTTCCTCCTCCTCCTCCTTCTCCTCCTCCTCC